GCTTTAAATCGAAACACACTAAATATTTTAAGAGCCGATATTTGAATACGAGGTGGTCCTTAATAAATAACGCCATGAAGCAGTCCTTAAAGAGTTGCATGCAGTCCGGAGCTGCAGGTTGCCGACCCCTGCTCTAGAGGAAGTCAACAATGGTCATTTTATTTCGATTTAAAGCTTTCGTGACTGCAGGGATTCATCTTCTTGGTTCTTTCGGTAAAGTCACGTAGAAGGGAAATAATAAAATAATAAAAATAAAACATAATAAAATACAATTCTCACGACGTTTCGGCCACAACGCAAGCAGCCGTCCTCAGGTGAAGAACAGGTCTGGCGGAAAGACAGCGTCTGAATGAACACCATCAACGTCGTGAGAATTTATTTTATTATGTTTTATTATTATTATTATTTTATTATTATTTCCCTTCTACGTGACTTTACCGAAAGAACCAAGAAAGTGGTCATTCTATGAAAAAGATCTCTCCAAACCATGGTAATGTGAATTAAAATAATTGGCTTGAGTCCACTAATCGTGATAAAATTGAGGCTTCTGCCTGAAATACTGGTCACAAGATAGCAAGTACAAACGTTGGCAGAAAACAAAGCCACAGGTAGATCAATATGCAAATTGAGTACAGATGCAACTAACATATGTGTCATGTCTTTTCCGTGTTTTACAGTTGGCGAGGATGGAATCACAGAGCACTATAGGGAGCCCCATTATAATACATCACACCTCGCAGCAATAGAGTCCACTCCAACAGAGTTCACTCCAGACCTTATTAAGCTCGTAGCGGGAGGTTTCAACTTTCACGACTCTATCACTCTCAGTAAGGCCAATCTCATTACAACTTTGAAGTTGAGCAGCATTGAGGCTTGCCTATGGGCAGCTGGGGATGCACAGGTTTTGTAGAACGACGAGTCTCTTTGGGGCTGTACGCCTTTTTGTTGTGCTGCTACAAACCTCTATTGGGCCATCAGGCACAAGACAATGCAATATTTTGTCTATCCTTAATGTTGCGTGTTGTCTTCATGAGAAAAAATAGGCAAAAACCAAAGTAATTCATGCTGCAGTTAGATGGAAAATGTTAATTTGTAGAAAATGATTCAATGCCAGACAGCACTATTTTTGTAAAACTATTAACCTAGGATTGTATGTAGATACAGAACTTGTGTGTAGATACAGTATTTGTTTTCTATAACTGCATTGCTTTCTCGATAAATAATCTGCCCTGGTCAACGATTAAATGAATTAAGTAATAAAAAAAAAACCTCAATCAACAACAAAGGCAATCGTTTAAATAATGTGTAATCACATTTGGATATTATTGTGTTTCTCTCGTGGTATTTGGTGGAGACAACATTAAAATCTTTACATTTTCTTGAAAAATATTGAACTTTCAAAATTAAACTTTTAGCACCGTGTACTTTTTTTACATTTTAGGGAACCATGTAATATTTTCACAAAACACCTTTTGATCCTTTTATAAAACGGTCAACATTAAACATAACATTGAGTACTGTATATAGCTTGAGGTTTAGATGTCAATAGAAGTAATTCCGTTTATGTCTGCACACTTTAACTTAGCTGTAGGAGAGCTCAGGCAAAGAGGGAATTATAAATGATTGGGATTCTTGTAAACTCTGAGAATCACATGTCATTTTAGAGTACTTCAGATAGTACTTCAAAGCCCATTTTTGGAGCCAATATACACTCCAACAATGAGCTATCAAGATGTAGAAATAGATCAATTATATGAAGAAATTATCCGACTTCTGAATGAGAGAATAAAACACGACAACATCATAATAGGTGACTTCAGTGCAAAGATTAGAAAAAGGTACAAATAAGTAGATGATTGGTAAATGTCAGAGGAAAATGAAAGTGGTAGCCCAAGCAGCAATATTATAATTTCAATTGACTTGATTCTCATGGACTCACTCTATATCGTCAGTGGAAGTGATTGAAGTCTGGTACGATGCAAGTTATAATTCAACATTTCCAAAGGGAGGAAAAAGCTGATTACAGGGAAGACCAGCACATATACCATAAAAATTGTTAAAGAGGAATGGTAATTTAGACTGGTTCTTTGTAAAAATAGAAAAATCCAATGAGAATACGAATGATGAAATGTATGTGATCACAATAAATTATAGCATTTTTTACATTGCAATTGATTATGATATGAAAGGAGGGGGTTGTAGGAAATAGATGACTAATGTTAAATAACAAGGAGAGGTATGAAAAGGTGTGAAAATGTAAAACAATATAAAAATGATGGAAGATGTCATAATAAGCATTGGCCGAATTAATGCAAAAAAAGGGAAATTGATTATTATTTGATCGCAAATATTACCCATTAGAATGCAAGGTTGAATTTGAATGCATGCTATAAACGGAACAATAATACAACTGGAGTAAGAAATGGAGTTAGATCTGTATTAGTATATAAAATCATATATCCCAGTAAATAAATACTTTTCAGGTGAGCAGGATGTTCCAATTGCAATATCTGCATAGAAAACCACTCACCTGGGAATTGAAAAGAGGGAAAAGCTACTGTGTCACACAGAGTAAAATTGTGACATCAAAAAAGTGGCACCATTGTTGGATCAAAAAGTAGCAAGCATAATTACTAAATCTTCCACTGAAATTAAATACGTCTATCATGGACTGATGCCTCAATCATTCTTTTATCAATAAAAGTGAGACAAAACTGATGTGAAAAATGATAGCCTCTATACTTATTTTCACACTTGCATAAACTTCTAGCAACTTTTTACCTGTAGTACACATTGGGAAGAGGAAAAGTATCCGGAAGAGACAATAAAACGAATGGGAAATGAGATGAAAAGGATAGAAAATTAATTGAAAAATGTGACCAAAAGATGAGTAAAGTCGAGGAGAGGGAGGAAGGGGCTACATTAGGGTCTCAAACTGCACAGAGCCGCGTCTGTTTCCACAGGGGACAGGGAGAGAAAAGGGATTCAAAGTGGGGTGGCCACACAGAAGTCAGATGATTTCCAGGAGGCTTTAGCTCATTTAAATATACAGATGAAAAAACATAATGGATTTTTTTACACTATGCAAATATATTGGATTAAGTAGAAACTGTTGCAGTCACCCAATAGTTTTCAAGTTGAGTTTTCTTTTTAAACCAGGTGAAGACTCAAGAGATCAGAATGAGTTTTGTGTGCAATAATCACTACCTGGGTCACCAAAATGACAAAAGAACAACAATACAGTACAGCGATGAAGTAAAGCAATAAGAACGAAAGCAAAAACACTTTCACAAGGAATGGAGAATACACCGATTATAAATCACTATCAAATCAAAGCTAAATATTAAATTTCTGCAGCATATATCACCTCTGGCAGATTACCTTCAGATTGATAACAGCACAAATTACCAAACTAAGCAATATAAATATTTAACATTAAACAGATGTAGGTTGCCAATAGCACTGATATGTAAACAAACATAGATATACTGTATGTCAAAAGCAATCGCAAGTGCAGTTACCGTAATGAAAGGCATGACGATATATGATGAATATGTTAACCATCTCAGATTCGCTGAAAACACAACCATAACAACATTATTATGGGAAGTGGTGGACCAGATGGGAAACGATTGAAGTACCTAACAAAGAAGATTCAAAAGTGAGGCTCAAGATAAATGTGGACAAACACAAAACACACACACAGGTTTACTGAAGCAAAGAAACAATTAACCATTTCCTTTTAGGCGAACTAGGAACAACATTATTCAGTAAACATGCGAGCAAGATGAAGTATTAAATCAGTGCATAGTATCTGCCATGACATGGGTAATAGAAACATAGGATGTTACGAAAAACGTGGAACAAAAACTGAAAATGATGAAAAAAAATTAGAGATACATGCTGAGAAGTACACAAGGACGAACACATGCTGAGAAGTACACAAGGACGAACACATATATCAAAGAAGAACACATTTGAAGGGACATCTTGTTTAAGTTAGTGGGCTTGGGCCAGGATACATCGCTAGATAGAACGTTATATTGATGGACATGACCCTGCTAATTTAATTCAGGAGTATAAACCATCACACAAACTTCGGTCAAAATCCGGTCATCCTCGCAGCGGCTTTCGGCTAACCATTGAACAAAGATGGCCACTACATCGCACGCTTTCAGATGTGCTTCTGCGGCCGTCTGGAATGCTCTTCCGATATTCGGAAACCACTGGAGCTATGCACTTTTACATGTAAATTGAAAACTAATTTAATTAGAACTGCTCTTTGTGTTTCGTTTCTTGTCTTTTCCCCGCACCTCCAATTAGCACGGTTAGCTACGTACGGTGCGAAAGAAGTTGAACATACATACACATACATGACGGTTGATAAAAAAAGCAGCGATCGGAGGGAAAATGAACACCTTGAAGACAGAGTAATGGGATCAGCTCCTGTGCAGGAGTAGGGGATACATTGCAACATCGCAGAACTCTAAGAGATGGTAATGACGTGAGCAGGCCTGCATACATCAGTGAATAGACATTGAATGATGATGAATTTGCCTTGGTAACTGATCTCTGGGTGTATTTAAATATAAATGTCAATATTTATAAAATATTCCTCAATATCATTCATCTTAACTATAGCCGACTGTGATCTAATTAATAATTTATGTTCGAAATTGCAGCAAATTACAGTGTTGGAAATGCTAAACAAAGCATGGCAAATAAAGCATCAATAATGTAGCCTGGAAGAGAGGAGAGCACATTGCTGAGCCAGGCATTGGGGTAGCACCCAGACATGAGTGACCAAAGGGCTGAAACCGGACAGTGTCAATTATCAACTGCGCAACAGCTCACTGGTCTAGTAGAAGTAAGGACACAACGGGGGGTGTGGTGTTATAATTGGCGTTGGCGATGATGGCGTCTTGACAATGACTGCTACACTGCGTCTTCATCAGGCTGAGGCAGCGTTCTATCTAGCTACATTGCTATAGGCATATTACCTGTACTGCTGCCGCGATTCTTGTCTTGCCGCGTTTGTCTCCCTGAGCTTGGTTGCCAAGACTCTCACAATGTTCACAAACAAGACGAAATTAACCTGTGTAGAAAGACAGGAAAAAATCCCACGTAATTATACAAGCGTCAAAGCTGTCGCCTCGACAGACCTGGTTTTCACCTGAGGACGGCTACTTGCGTTGTGGCCGAAACGTCGTGAGAATAATTTTATTATGTTTTATTTTTATTATTTTATTATTTCCCTTCTACGTGACTTTACCGAAAGAACCAAGAAGAAAAATGTGTAACTGCATGGGGAAAAAAAAACATATTTGGCAAGAATATGAAATCTTTTGAAAATATAGCCATCGAATCTCAGCGAGGCTTTCCTCCACAAATATTGTAAGTTAGTATCGATTACATTTCAGCTTATACACGGTTCATTTCCGCATGTGTTCTGCTCTAAAATTTAAGACAATATAACAAGTAACCGGATACATTTTTATTGAAAGCTTTCGTGACTGCAGGGATTTATATTCTTGGTTCTTTCGGTAAAGTCACGTAGAAGGGAAACAATAAAATAATATAAATATAAAACTATTAAATGCTCACGAAGTGTCGACTGCAACACAAGCAATCATCATCAGGTGTGAAATCCACAGCAAGAAACGTCGTGAGAATTTTATTGTTTTATATTTTTATTATTTTATTGTTTCCCTTCTACGTGACTTTACTGAAATAACCAAGAATATAAGTAACCGGATAGTTGATATGACCTCATGTATTCAGGATATACGGGGGATCTTTATCTTTATTACATTATAGGACTTTGAGAGATGGTGACAGCTTGGGTCGTCTTTCATCCAGCAGTGGATTGTTAATGGCTAATGATGATGTTCATTCTAGATTTGAAGTTTTCGTGACTGCAGGGATCCATACTCTTTGGTTCTTCTCGTGACTTTACCCAAAGAACCAAAGAGTGATGATGATTTTGCTTTATATAAACAGTAATTCACAACGTCTACAGTCAAAACATAATTTGACAGCCAAATTAAAAGTAGTCATCTTTCACAACAGCATTAATTACCAGTTTAGATTGTGGAATTTGATTTTATAATCCATTTAAATTTCAGTTTATATGCAATTTTCAATATGGTGAGCTCCCGCCGAGTCCTTCCAGGTGAAACATTACGAGTAATGCCGTATGAAGTTAATACTCGCCAGAGTTAAATGAATGTGAAACAAATACTGTTTTGTACAACCCTGTAAACATTCTATTATTATCTATATATATAAAATCGTTCATGTCTGTCTGTCTGTGTGTGTGTGTGTGGACTTTGGCCCATACGCACTTTCATTGGACGGCGGTTGCCCCTGGCAACGGCTAGCCACGCCTTCGCCGCTTTCATTGGACCTGGCAACGGCTAGCCACGCCTTCGCCAAGGGCTGCAGTTTCATTGGACGGCGGTTGCCCCTGCCAACGGCTAGCCACGCCTTCGCCACTTTCATAAGCTCCGTATTTAATTAAATAATAGCCATTACACAGTATTGTTGGAGCGCTAGGGGGGGGGGGAAGGAACGCCACCCGTACCCTGCCTCTTCCAAGCCGACAATTTTAGGCGAGGCCGCAGGCTTTGCACGCTACTAGGCCTCGACACCCACCACGCCACTCTGAGGTAAATTCATCAAAGTTTTTCCTACTCTTCACTACACCCCCACCACAATGTGTGCTATTAATATTACTTTTAAACCCAACGCGCCAACAATCGATTACTTTAATGTTCACTGTACAAATACTCATTAAGCTGGGTGAGCGTACTGCCAGTCTATCATGTACACTGTAGCCTGCTTATTAAGCTCGGTGAGCGTACTGCCACTCTATCATGTACACTCTAGCCTGCTTATGAAGCTGAGTGCGTGTACTGGCAGTCTATAATGTGGACTCTTGCCTGGTTATTATAATCGATTCTTTATATGTTCTTTGTACAAACAGTCATTAAGCTGCTTCAGCGACCCCAGTTCGATTCCAACTCACGCCCACCACCGCTGACGATTATTTGAAACGGACCTGGCCCTCCCCTAGGTCCACTCAGCCTCAAAAGCGTAACTGCTGTCGTGTGTGAACATCGTCACTGGGGAGACAAAGGCGGCGGGGCATCGTGGATCCAAGTCCCGGGCGAAGCCGGGTCATGTGTATGTGTGTTTGTGTTTATGTGTATGTCTGTGTGTCTCTATGTATGTGTGTATGTATGTGTATGTATGTGTTTGTGTGTATGTGTGTGTGTATGTATGTGGGTTTTTTTTTATGTCTTTATGTGTATGTCTGCGTGTCTCTATGTATGTGTGTATGTACGTGTGTGCATGTGTTTGTGTGTATGTATGTGTGTGTCTATGTATGTGTGTGTCTATGTATGTGTGTGTATGTGTGTGTATGTATGTGTGTTATGTGTCTGTCTGTGTCTGCATGTATGTGTGTGTGTATTGTGTATGTGTTTGTGTGCATGTATGTGTGTGTTTGTGTGTATGTGTATGTCTGTGTGTATGTGTTTGTGTGTATGTGTGTGTATTTATGTGTGTGTATGTGTTTGTATGTGTTTGTGTGTTTACGCTCGCATTACACAAATGTGTTGCTGGTCTAAGGCGTTCCTCGCACAGCATTGCCGCTTTATTATTTCAGTCGTTTACTGCCTTACGCACCCTGAAAGTCGTGTGTGTCTGCAGCAAGCGCGTGTATGTGTACCTATGGACGCGCGCGCGTGTGTTGTGTAGGGGGAACGGTAGTGTAGTGCTTAGCGTGCTGTCTGTGTCTGTGTGTGTGTGTGTCTGTCTGTGTCTGTCTGTGTGTGTCTGCGTGTGTCTGTGTGTGTGCGTGTGTGGTGTGTGGGGAGCGGTAGTGTAGTGCTTAGCGTGCTGTCTGTGTGTCTGTGTGTGTGTGTGTCTGTCTGTGTCTGTCTGTGTGTGTCTGCGTGTGTCTGTGCGTGTGTGGTGTGTGAGGAGCGGTGGGTGTAGTGCTTAACGCTACGCTGCGCTACCAACCCGGCGAACCCAGTTCCATTCCCGCTCACGGCCACCACCGGTGACGATTATTTGAACCTCCCCTAGGTCCACTCAGCCTCAAACGAGTAACTGGTGTGGCGTATTAACATCGGCACTTGGGAGACAAAGGCGGCTGGGCGTGGTAGATCCAAGTCCCGGGCGAAGCCGGGTCATGTGTATGTGTTTATGTGTATGTCTGTGTGTCTGTATGCATGTGTGTATGTATGTGTGTGTATGTGTTTGTGTGTATGTCTGTGTGTGTATGTATGTCGGTTTTGCCGCCGTGGTGGATCCAAGTCCCGGGCGAAGCCGGGTCATGTGTATGTGTTTATGTGTATGTCTGTGTGTCTGTATGCATGTGTGTATGTATGTGTGTGTATGTGTTTGTGTGTGTGTCTGTGTGTGTATGTATGTCGGTTTTGCCGCCGTGGTGGATCCAAGTCCCGGGCGAAGCCGGGTCATGTGTATGTGTGTATGTGTTTATGTGTATGTCTGTGTGTCTGTATGCATGTGTGTATGTATGTGTGTGCATGTGTTTGTGTGTATGTATGTGTGTGTGTATGTATGTGGGTTTTTTTGTATGTGTTTATGTGTATGTCTGCGTGCCTGTATGTATGTGTGTATGTACGTCTGTGGATGTGTTTGTGTGTATGTATGTGTGTGTCTATGTATGTGTGTGTATGTGTTTCTGTGTTTGTATGTGTGTGTATGTATGTGTGTTATGTGTCTGTGTGTCTGCATGTATGTGTGTGTGTATTGTGTATGTGTTTGTGTGTGTTTGTGTGTTTACGCTCGCATTACACAAATGTATAATGCGGGTCTAAGGCGTTCCTTACACAGCATTGCCGCTTTATTATTTCAGTCGTTTACTGCCTTACGCACCCTGAAAGTCGTGTGTGTCTGCAGCAAGCGCGTGTATGTGTACCTATGGACGCGCGCGCGTGTGTTGTGTAGGGGGAACGGTAGTGTAGTGCTTAGCGTGCTGCCTGTGTCTGTGTGTGTGTGTCTGTGTGTGTGTGTCTGTGTGTGTGTCTGTGTGTGTGTCTGTGTGTGTGCGTGTGTGGTGTGTGGGGAGCGGTAGTGTAGTGGTTAGCGTGCTGTCTGTGTGTGTGTTTCTGTCTGTGTGTGTCTGCGTGTGTCTGTGTGTGTGTCTGTGTGTGTGTCTGTGCGTGTGTGGTGTGTGAGGAGCGGTGGGTGTAGTGCTTAACGCTACGCTGCGCTACCAACCCGGCAAACCCAGTTCGATTCCCGCTCACGGCCACCACCGGTGACGATTATTTGAACCTCCCCTAGGTCGACTCTGCCTCAAACGAGTAACTTAACTACTGTAGCGTATTAACATCGCCACTGGGGAGACAAAGGCGGCCGGCCGTGGTAGATACAAGTCCCGGGCGAAGCCGGGTAGTACAGCTAGTCTATATATATAAAATCGTTCATGTCTGTCTGTCTGTGTGTGTGTGGACTTTGGCCCATACGCACTTTCATTGGACGGCGGTTGCCCCTGGCAACGGCTAGCCACGCCTTCGCCGCTTTCATTGGACCTGGCAACGGCTAGCCACGCCTTCGCCAAGGGCTGCAGTTTCATTGGACGGCGGTTGCCCCTGCCAACGGCTAGCCACGCCTTCGCCACTTTCATAAGCTCCGTATTTAATTAAATAATAGCCATTACACAGTATTGTTGGAGCGCTAGGGGGGGGGGAAGGAACGCCACCCGTACCCTGCCTCTTCCAAGCCGACAATTTTAGGCGAGGCCGCAGGCTTTGCACGCTACTAGGCCTCGACACCCACCACGCCACTCTGAGGTAAATTCATCAAAGTTTTTCCTACTCTTCACTACACCCCCACCACAATGTGTGCTATTAATATTACTTTTAAACCCAACGCGCCAACAATCGATTACTTTAATGTTCACTGTACAAATACTCATTAAGCTGGGTGAGCGTACTGCCAGTCTATCATGTACACTGTAGCCTGCTTATTAAGCTCGGTGAGCGTACTGCCACTCTATCATGTACACTCTAGCCTGCTTATGAAGCTGAGTGCGTGTACTGGCAGTCTATAATGTGG